CAGTTAATAAAAGATTAAAATAGAAGACTTTATCATTAATATGGAAGATTTATTCAAAGGGGGTAGCATACAAAAATTTTGTAGCAAATTCCTGTCAACACCTTTTAGATTTCTAGTATAAATTATTTCGTCACCTTCATCAATTTCAAAATCTAATATACAATAAACAAGTTGGTGATTGATGATATATATATTTCCTTATTACCGTGACTGTAAGACGTATATTGATTTGAGATTAATATAATGTCAATGAGGCTTTCAGTAGTTGCTGCAATTCTTGTAGGTTCATTTATGACTTTATGCATATTAAATAAATCTATGCAATTATTAAATTTTAATACATTATTACAAGTACTATCTAAAAAATCAATGTTTACGTCACCACCACAAATAATTTTATCCAATTATGTGTAAATATCGGCTAAAATTTCCTCAAAATCTATTACAAAACTACTTTACACTTTTATCTGGAGGTCGGTATTGATTTTCAAAAGCAAATTTACGATTATCTACTTTGAAACTTATCCACAATTGTTCAACAGAATCCCTACAATCCTTACAAGATTGTATCCCTGTATGCATGGGCGAAGTTGGGGGGGGGGGGGAGCTTGGGGGAGCTAAGCTACCCCAAAAACCAAATTAGCCCCCCCAAAAATAATTCGAACATTTATCGCTCATCCACCCACGCATTTCAGATTTCAGAACAGAAATTAAAAAATAAAAAGAATCGTGCCATTTGATTAATTCTGCAATTCTACATTTAGTCCAGGAGGCAGTGAATTTTTTTCGTACTCATTTTCCCAGGCGGTGTATATGAAAATAAATTGTTCTCTTAGTGACAAAAAACAACATTTTTGAAGTCTGGCACTTATTTTCCCAGTCATAAATATTTTACATTTACTAAACTAGAACATAAACTTTATAAAAATAGCAGTTTGGATTATTTCAGATAGTGGAAATTGAGTCTGGCAGAAAATTTAGCACATAAATTGATACAATCATAAATTGTAAATAATAATAAGTCTGGTTGATTTACGAAATTGGCAAATGAGTCTGGCAAAAAATATAATATTTTTTATATTTTATTTTCCCGGGTTTTGAAAATTTATCACGTGATAGATTATATTATAATTTTACACCTCTATTTTACAGCCGATCAAATGCTGTTATTTTAAAACGCTTTCATGACAACCAGAAATATTTCGGGAAATTTTTCTTTTGGTAGGTACTCTGAAGGAAATTATAGTGAAAATTTTTTTTTGATATTTGGGAAACTCTTTCATGCATATGATATTACGACATAAAGCGATAGTGTGATTAAGAAATTTGCCATTTCAGTGTTAATATTTAATTTAATACCAATTATAACTAGGTAGAAATACACTACATTTATTTTAAGTAAAATAAGAATTAGGTTTTTCGCGTCAACTAAACGACTTTAAATATGAAAAATGGCCATGGTATGGCCAGCTTTGAAAATTTTATTTTAATCGGTTTAATGCATATCTCTCAGGTTTTGAAATTTGGATATTTTGGTGTAAAATTTTCTTACCCAATACCACACGTGCCTAAATTATTATCAGTAAATTTTTGCTCACATGCATATTTTAAGAAAATTATCCATAGTCTTCGACCGGAAATAATTTAGGTACTAGTGAAAATACACGTCTGGTTGACATTTACAATTACGAAGGCCTGCCAGACTCACAAGTAGTGTCCGACCGAAGGTTCGGTTACGGTTTCGGCCAACTTCGGCTTAAAGTAAGGGTTTCGACTACAGTTTCAGTTTCGGCGGAAAACTGGCCGAAATTGCAGCCGACAGCGAAACTATTTTCGAAATTTTTCGCATCACACTTGGTGGTGTCCGGCACAATGGTGACTGTGCCGGGTGCCATTCCTATACAGTGCACGTACACACAAACTTCTCTGCTGTGTTCCAAGCGAACAGTCTTCAGTGCTCCTGGCCTAATTTATTCGGATCGGAGGAGCAATTTTTTAGGTGAAAACGTGGAAAAAATATTATTTCTAGCCTACAACGTTAGACTGTTTACTTATGAATATTAATTTAATTATAAGTAACAAAAATATTTAATCAGCTGAATTTGTTTGTTTTTTTTTTTAATAAAAATACTATTATTTTTATAAAAAATCTACTGCAGATGCAGATATGATTGCTACTTTATAATTCGCTTACTTTTTTAATTTCAAAAAGTAGATAATAAAAACTATATCAATAAATTTATTAATGGCATCTTTTGATCACATAAATATATAATAAGTAAATGTAGCTAACATTTATAATACGAGTTAATTAGGCTAAAACAAGGATTACAATAAGATATTGCAAATTTCAATAAGAGATTGGCTTAAAAGAAAGTTCTTGTTTCTGTTTCGGTTTCGGCCGAAACTAAGGAAGGAGCCGAAATTCCAATTCTGTTTCGGTTATAAAACCCTGTTTCGGTCGGACTTCACAAGCCAGGTAGTTAAACGAGGAGAGGAATAGTAATCTAACGTGTAACGTGCCGAATTTAGCGCGCCTGACGATCATTAGACGAGTCTGGCAAGGCTTTCGTGGTCTTCCACATTAGCCAGATTGTTTTTTAAACTGTTATCATAATATACATTTTTCTTCACCCACCTGGATATTATCTTATCTACGCACAGATTACAAAACGAAAAGCGTTCAACTGAACGAATATATTTCATATCTACTCTAGGTAATGAAATCCACCAATCACAGTTCATATTTTGGACACCCAAATACTATTATTTTTAAAATTTTAAATTCTGACCAACTGTCAGTATATTTTTTAGTTATTGAGATTACATATACATTAAAATGAGTTATTTTTGATTAGAATCGATAAAAAATAGGCATTCTTATTTGGACCACGTTTAAAAAAAATTTTAATCAAATTGTATGAAACTATAATTTAATTACGAGTATTAAAAATAAAAAAACTAAAAGTGCGGCGGTGGAGCCGAGGACAGAGTCTGGGTTCGTATCTGGGCTAGGGGCTATTTCTTTTTTATGTTTTTTTTTTTATATTATAAATTAATAAAATTCATAAATTATTTTAAAATTAGTTATTTTGTCTAAACCTAAAATAATTTTTTAAATTTGTAAATTTTCGTTAGTAGGTCGTAGAAAAAATATACTGTACAACTCGAGTGGACTGTCCGTATCCCCCTGTTGTTGCACAAACTACTATTTTATGACTGTGAAAATGAGGGAAATTTTTGTGATGAAAATTATTGTGGTGAAAATTTTTCAGTTTTTTCACCTGTTATAAATATAGAATGTGTTTCTAAATTCATGCGACAAAATTTAGGAGGTAATTGCTCGTATGAAATTAAGATGGGTCTTTCCTATAACAAAATTTCCTCAGCCCACCCCTTTCCGAGATATCACCCTTAAAAGGTGGTGACTAAAATTGAGTTTCTATTTTTTTTTTTCTAAAATTTCAGTAAAGGTAGAAACTTGAAATTCTGTAATTTTATTTTGTCTAGAGGTGTTCATTTCCAGCATTTATTATAAATCGTATTACATTTTACATCTTTACTGTTTTGCACTCAATTTATTAAAAAAATTATAAATTATGGTGTTTATTTTTTCTCTAACAATATTTTTTTTTTTTTTTAATAAAACAAGGATTTTAAGTTATAATTTTATTTCATAAAACTTCATCTCGAAAAAAAGTTTTGATATGAAATAATATAATGTAACAGGAATATTGAAAAAATACCCGTGGTTAGTCCTTTGCGAATGCACGAAAATTACAAAATTTCATGTTTCTAGCTTTACTGAAATTTTAGAAAAAAAAATAAAAACTCAATTTTCGTCACCACCTTTTAAGAGTGATATTTCGGAAAGAGGTGGGTTGAGCAAATTTTGTTATAGGAAAGACCCATCTTAATTTCAAACGAGCAATCACCTCCTGAATTTTATCACATGAATTTAGAAGCACCCTGTATATTATATATGATATATTATCCATACTCATAGATTTGCCAGAATTTTTTAACTTAACTTCAGTATACCACTTACTACTAGAACTATTACATATTATATTATATGAGTAGGGCTAGGGCTTTAGCCCCCCCAGATCTGATGACATAACTTCGCCCATGCCTGTATGTGTATATTTCCGACAATACTCCCTAGGCCCTAGACATATTAAAATTCACGCAAGACAATGATTTCTTTAAAAGTACTTTTTCGGTTTGTTTGCAAATTTTTACCCGACCTCTTTCACAACTTTCTGATATAATTTTTGGTCTATCATTTACTCTTATTTTAGTAGATCCCTTTAGGCCAAAATGTTTCCCATGGTTCGCTATTTCCATAAAGAATGTTCCTTCACTATATTACGCGATAATTCAGACTACTTTTTGTGATATAAGGTACTCCTCTCACTATTTAAAAAAAATTACAATCTCATTTGTCTAAATTTTAAAAATATTTTATTAACTGTTTACATTCAGTTACTTTTAGTTGTCAATAAAAAACAATTGCGAAAAATAAATTGTAGAGCGAAACAAAAAATAAAATGAAGTATTTTAAAAATCTACTTGATTTATAAAAAAAATCATATAAGTAGTTGCTTGGGCTCGTAATCCATATACCAACAAAAACGTTTATGAGACAAAAATTAACATTTTTTTCAGATTAAAAATATTTATAAATCTTGGAATAAATTCGCTTTTTTCAACACATATTTGCTTTCATTATATTAAAATGTCAATCGTTGAAGGTATAAAAACGCTTGTAAATATTTTAATAATTCCTATAATACAAAATGATGAAAGAAATACGTATATTTATATTTTTTGCGAATGTTAAATTTATCTAAATCATCAGACGCGTTGCAAAAAATTTCGAAAAATGTGCGACACTTGATGATTTCAAATTGTTTTCCTAAACTTGGTACACCAGGGCAATACATTTCAAACGATAAATTTTTTTGAATATGAAAATGTTATTCTATTTGCATACTCACCTAGCGATGAAGAAAAATTCGTAGAAGAAAAATTCCAAAAGAAAAAAATGTTAACAAAATTCACACCACTATCCATCATATATAAACACGAAAACACGCATTGCACTCATCTTAATCTACATCCTGCTCCTTTGAGCGCCAGTCGAAGAACTGAAACATTCGAATTCGAATTTCCACAAAACAAAAGCACAAAACATCCACTAGGACAAAAAACAATTGGCACGGATCCCTTGAAATATCTCCTCGCACCGCGATTGTTTCTACAGTATCCCTATCCAAAGAGATCTGCGATCTCAACAAGTGCAACTGGCTCTCTTGTGATCTGAAAGAAGGTAGCGAGGCATACAGCAGGCAAGCAGATACTGTTTAGTTCGTCGAGACTTTACTCTTCTCTTGGGTAAATAAGCGATGCTTTTCGGGGGTAATAAATCATTTGCATCGACAAATTTGCCTCAATTTACAGTATTTTTTTGTATAGGCGGGTACCTTAAGTGGATCAATTAGGAGGATAGCCATAGCCGCTTTACAGGGTGGTCTTTGAGTTTGCGACTTCTTCTTGGATGCGAAGTTTTGGGACGAAACAAAAATTCTGTGTCGACGACTGACTAAGCACCACCCAGAGCTGTTAAATAAAAAAATAATGTATTAGTCCTTTTAGATCATTCAACAATGATATAGGACACGTAAAAAAACAACAGTAACAAATAGTAAAAAAAATAACAAGACAACGTGCAAATAACATTATTTAAAGTTTTTTTGATTAAAATTCATGTCATTCTCTAGTTTGAGCTCTTTCTTATAAAAAAACTAAGTATACGTACTTATAGGTATCACTATTCTAAACAAAAATATTAGTTCCTTATCTTGTGTAAATGAATAATAAAGACACAATAATTTTTTTAAAATAAAATATTTTACAAATTGTCTCAAATAAAAGCTCAGAGATGCTACTTTTATGTCTTACACTGTTGCCAAGCCGCCCAAAAAGTTTACTATCCAATTATTTATTATCAAAATACAACAATTTATTTCTAATAATTTCCTTGTCCTTACAATATTTTATAATGTCATAACTATTGATTGCCCACTCAGAACCTCTATTCACTTCTTTTCCTGTAAAATTGATAATATTAATTGAAAAAGTGGCATATTTTTATTTAAAAAATTATTTGTGATAGAGGACTTAGGTTTTTGTTCACAATAGCAATTCGAGAGACGCTAAAATGGTGGCTCCTACCTTATCGAGACTGAGGCCCACAAGAATAAACTCGTAACGTAACAAAAACAAGAACTGATTTAACTTGGAACGAAATACCGAAAGCCGATAGTAGTATTAGCACGTTGAATTTTTTGGTTTGTAAAGCGTTGGCATTACTTAGGTTAAACCATGTTATGATTTTCACAAGCCTTGATTTTTAAAACTATTCTATATCGCCTTTTGATTGGGGTTTAAAAACAATAATTGGCTCCTTTACCTCTTAAGCCTGCTCATGTAAAATATTTGGGCTTCTTACTTCGCCTATTTATAGTCTATTAATAAAGGACAGAAGGATGAGTATTGCAACTATGTTAAAAGAAATAAATTGGCTTTCACTTCAGAATTATGTTCAGTACATGACTGATATTTATTTATAAAATAAAAATGACATAGTACCATCGCATCAGATCTATTAGACAAAATTCAATATAATTCGTAATATCACAACTATAATACAAGAAACCAATCTGATTTTCATGTACGGCAAGCCATCACTAAAAGTTCCCAAATATACAATTTTTATTAAAGGTTTAAAAAAATTTAATAGACTGCCTACAGAAATTAAAAAAATAATAATAAATGTATTTAAAAGTAACCTCAAACAATACTTGATAAATAAACAAAACGGATATACTTTCTTGTGATAATACTCTTTAAACCTGCCCTTTTTAAGTATTTCCCTTAATTTATTGTTAGTTTACCTCTCGTTTTATCCGCGTTTATTATAGATTATTTGTTTTGAGATCATGTACTTTATTTTAAAAAATTACTTGATGTTATATTAATACCACTTACTATGTTTAAATTATTAATAGTTTTGTGAAGATAGGTTATAGCAACTTATAGCCACAAAACTATGTTTGTGTTAAAGTAGATCCATAGAGAGCAATGTAATTTACAAAGACCTTCTTTCAACATACAAATAAATGACGATTTTATAATTAAGGAGGTCCTTTCGCCACACCTCTCGCCTCCAATGTTAAAAAAAAAGTTATTAGATTATGACTAAAATTAATTTTTTTCTAATAGTTGAAGTCCTTATTTATCTAATACTGAACTTTTAACTATACCTTACCTTGCAAATTTTTGAGAATTTTTTTTTTTAATGTGAGTATTTGTACAGTGCCTCGCGAGAAAGTAAGTCCTCAACAACAATTCTCGAATTATACTATTATTTATTGATTAGATGGAGTAGAAAAAAACTAAAAATAAGGTTTCTGAAATATTTAGATTTTGTTTTATACAATAAAATATATATAGTAAACCGTGGAACTTATTGAGAAATTAATATTAAAAAATCACAAAAAAATTTCAAGTAACCTAGTTGAACATTTTTTGTGATTTTTTAATAATAATTTCTCAATAAATTCCACGGTAACCTATATATTTTATTGTAAAAAACAAAACCTAAATATTTCAAAAACCTTATTTTTAGTTTTTTTCTACTCCATCTAATCAATAAATAATAGTAAAATTAATTATAATTCGAAAATTGTTGTTGAAGTCTTACTTTCTCATAAGACACTGTACAAACACAAACATTTAAAAAAAAAATTTCTCAAAAATTTGCACGGTAAGGTATAGTTAAAAGTTCACTATTAGATAAATAAGGACATCTACTATTAGAAAAAAATTAATTTTAGTCATAATCTAATAGTTTTTATTTAACATTAGTGGCGAAAAGACCTCCTTAAAATGAAAAACACAACAAAATACCTTGATATCATAAATGATCCAAATTTGAAATGGGCATTATATCCAACCTCTCTTTTATATAATAAAAAAGTGCTTTGAATAGGAACATTATATTATCTGTCTTGCTATACTTTTATTTATGGAAAGCCTGAATTGAGATATTTATTATTTGCAATAAATATCAAAAGAAGTATACATTTTTAAATAAGTCGACATTTAAGAGCCATTCTCATATCACAGTTGACATTTTGATACTTGACAGGCACAGCCAAGCATTATTTTGATTTTTGCCAAATAAAATAGCCGGTTAATTATTCTATGGGGTTGCGACAGAGAAATTTGATGAAAGTGTTTTTGTGGCTAGGGGCGAAATAGTAGTACGCTTAATAGCACCACCATAAAAAGTCATTTTTAAGAAACTGATTATATATTTTTCATAAATTGGCAGTCTTGGCGACTAATTTCGAATGAAAATAGCTTCCAAAATGGCTATATGTTTGCAAGTATGAATGTCGCAACCCGCCTTAGAAATTTCACCTTTACTATCAACAGCTGTTGTTTGACAGGTCGTTAGAGAATGTTTGCAATTTATCGAATTTGAAGAATGTTAGGAATTTTGACGTCAGAAATAATTGAAATTCCTAAAATTGTTCACATAAGGAATGCATAGGCGGATTTTAAGAAAATTGTTATTAAAGTAGTTAGGATGAACTGAAATTTCTGAAAATCAATAGGGTTCTAAGTTAGAAGTAATTATTCAAGAAAATCAAAACCGCAAGTTAATCAGAACTTTCGTTCTAGAGTTATCGTGCCGGCATACATACATACAGACGACCAGACGAAATTTTTTTTTTGGATTTTCGGATTCAGAATGATCAGAAACATGAAAAAAAGTTTTAAAAAATGGGGGTCAGAAAATTTTTTCGTTTGCACGAATGCAACACTGAGGCCTTATAAGAAGGGCCTCAGTAATACCTACAAGTACGTATGTTTGTTTGTTCTTAACCGAAAAGAGCTCAAACTAGACATTTTAGTACCAATATTCAGATATTTCGTAAAAACTTATTTAAAAAAAAAAAAATTTAAGTTCGACTCAGATCTTGTGTTCTTGTATATCAGCGTTACTCAAAGTGTGGTCCGCAGAGCCCTGGGGCTCCGCAAAGCCTTTGTGGGGGCTCCATGAAGAAGATAATAGTCATAATCAAAAAAGGAGTACTACCGCTACCAAAGGGAGGGACTTGAGGACTTTTTTTATTTTTTATTTAGAAGTCACTAAGAGGAAGGAGGATATGATTTTGCTTGGAAAACGTTTTTTTTTGAGTCACTAAGAGGAAGGACGATATGATTTTGCTCGGAGGATCTTTTTTTTAGAAATGTGTTTAGGGCTCCGTTAAATATTTCGCTTTTCAAAAAGGTTCCGTCACCAAAAAAGTTTGAGAACCACTGTTGTAGATAATTTAAAGTTTCAATTCCGTTGAAGAGTGATGTATAATGTTCGGCTGCTGATCTTGTCAAATATTCATAAAAGTCAGAAATGTTTTAATTTTTGGTTATTACTTTTTCTATACATGATGCATTTATATACAGTGAACGTTTTCCACTACGCTTTGCAAAAGTAAATGCCCTGTAAGATTGGCCGGGTCCTATAAACTGGCAACGCCGAAATTATTCGTTTCCTGCTCGCTCTAATGTTAACTCTCTGTAGTTTTTAAATGAACCTGTGCAAAACGTATTGGAAAGCGTTCAAAGCCCAATACTGTATACAGCAGGAAAGGTAAATACAGAGTGTCCCATTAGTGCGTAATTATTCAATATTTAAATTTGTGTTATAGACACGCAAAAAGTTATATGGATTTGAAAAATTCATATTTTAAAAATATTTTTGGATATACAGGGTGTTGAGTTTTTGGCTGGAAAATTAAAATGTATGTTTTTTAAATAAAACACCTTATATTTTATTTTTAAATTGTTTGGTAATACTTTATTCAACCCTAGAAGGTTTTTAAATAATATTACATGTTGCCAAGCAATTAATTTTTTTTTAAATTAGAGAATGATGCAGGCCCCAAATTCAATTATCATCATTTAGGTGGGTTTGCATTGATTTCAAAATTGTTTAATATACAAACTTATAAGATACTGAGCTAACAAAAAAGGGTAATAGAACTGGATTATTTTATACAGGGTGTTTTGAAACATGTCTCAAATATAAATATAAGTTCAATTTACTCAATTTTCTCAAATGCAACACCCTGTATATAATTTTAGCATAAAATTCGCTATAAATTTACCTATCCAACAAGTTAGTCAATAACACATATACAGGGTGTCCCATCAGTGCGTAATTGATCGATAGCTGTTTTATTATTGAAAATATGAAAAAAAAAATTAA